AAGATGTTGGTAAATGCATGAAATATTATATGGGTCTTTTTCTTCTAAAGAAGTCAAAATGTGAGTTGGGGTGTGGTATAGATACTGACCTACATGAAGTACACAGCAGTAACATAGACTTGGGTAATGTAGACTTTGCCATGGTTTTAATTACCAGAAAGAATAAACCACATCTTGTTTAGTTTTTCAGTATTCTGGACTTTTATTCCTATTAAAAATAAGTCGTAGAGGTAGTAGAGAAGCAAGATCTAGTTCAGTAGATGAATGATCAGTATGAATGCGGTTAACGTGGTTTCATGACATAGTTTTAGAGTTGAAATTGTGGTCAGTAGAGAGGTGGGACTGCAAATGGCTCGTGACAGCATGTGGTACACCTGGCACGCATCCATCTGTTCAACGTTTTAGTTTAAAGCTGGTGTAGCACCTTATTGCTGCTGCTATAATGAAATGCTAGGGAAATGCCTTGTTAAAGTGTAGCTTAACATTATTAAAAACAAAACAGTAATTACAAGGCCTCACAAATGAAAAAGAAAACAAGAGGCTTATAACCATTTTGTAACACAGTTTGTCCTTGACCACCACGACCTGTCATTCACCTAGGCTTTCATGAGTAAAATAATCTCTGTGGTTGTGACTCCTTACAGCCAGAATTAGAAGGAACAAGTAAAAAAGGAAAGGGGAAAAAGAAACAAAGAGGAAGGGGAGTGTCAAGACAAGGTTTATCTATGTTCTGTGTCCATGTTTATCTCTGTTTGTAATGACAAAATTACACATGTGGGTAAACAAGTACAAAGGAAAAAGAGTCGTCACAAACAGGGAAACGTATTTCATGTCACCACTCTATCATGGTCTTTGTTGTTAGCTGGAAACATTCAGTCAGCTTAATCAATTAGCATTTTATTCCTATTGGAAATAGTTAATAGAAACAAGCAGTGCTTTTTTTCATTCCAACAAGTTATATTTGTGTGTGAGGGACAAGGAGAAGGAGAAGTGGGTGCGCACACGCAGTATGTGCATGAGTGAGAGTAGAGAAAACAGCTTGCCACTTGTATTTCCACCACCTGCCCAAGGCAGTAACTCAGATGGACACAGAACTGAGATGTATGAAGGGACCACGTCAGTCAGAGTAGGAGACCCATCTATCTAACATGTCTATCAGATAACCTCTCAATGGCATGCAATTACAGTCAAATTGAGATGGTACAGGCAATTAGTTCAGAGTCCACCTTCAAGCTGAAGATCAGGAGGAAGATTGGCTCTGGAAGAGCCAATCTGACTTTGGAAGAGCCGAGCTGCTGTGATGTGTGTCTGCCAGCTCCGTGTGTGCTTCAGCACGGCACAGAAAGTCTGACTTCTGCCACCAAGAGTTCGCATCTGTTTCCAGTGGTTCCAGGCACAACCTCATGATTTCCAGTAGGGTCCTAATTACACAATGTTTGTGCTAAACTCCTCCACACGGTCAGAGGCAACAGACAGAAAGTTGCAGCTACTATTCAAATGGCTGAAGATTTTCAGCTCCATTGGCTGAATTGCAGAGATGATCCTCAGAAGCACTATTTCATCAATATTTGCTCTATTTCCTCCTTTTTTTTGGTTGGTTCTAATTTTTATCAGGTCTGTTTAATGTTTAACAGTGGAAATTAAGCAGAAGATGATGTAGCAGTATAAGTAACAGCGTGGAGGACAGCACGGTCAGCTGAATGCAGCAGGGCTTCTGATTGTGTAAGTACCTGACATGCATTTTTCTTAGAGACTTGCACCTGATGCTTTCTGTGGTCGGTGGAATTTTCATGTTAAGTTAATTTAATTTCTCTGCTTGTGACTTGGTTGTGTATGGATGTTGCCATGAAATATTAACCAAACAAACATGCAAGGGACCAGTGGGACCTGCCGTTCTGGGGGAATACTCTTAGCCTGAAATTAGAATAAGATAACCCTTGAAGTCATGGGGACTTATTAAGTAGTCAGTAAACTAGAATGCTGATGAAATCACCTTTTAGGTTGGAAACAGCCTTCACTGTGGCTTGAAATTAGCATAATCCCACGAGCGACAGAACAACCAGGTCCAATTTATAAACTCTTCTGGTGACTTAATGTAAAAAAACAACCATCCAATTGCTAAGGTCAGGCTCTCTAATTAGGACTGGGGTGAGTGTAGGGGATGGGTGGAAGGCCACAATTTAAATTTAATTACCCCTTTTATTCCCATAGACAAACTAATCTGTCGTTTGGCAGAGAATTTTTTTCTGAATTTCCAATTTGCATATAAAAAATACAGCCCAGATTTAATAAAGCCTTTCCAGTTTCTTCAGCTTTGACACGGTAACAAAAAATATTCACAGCTGGAATTTTCTAATTTCAAAATGTTGAAATTACTGTGATTAATATATCTAAAGGGAGAAGTATGTGGGGAAAATTTGATGACAATATTCAGTGTTTCACAGCTTCTGGTAGAAGTACTTTAATATTTTTATAGAGAGATGTGATACTAAGAGAACTTTTTTAATTGATCTGTTACAGTAGAAGTTAAAACAGAGCCACGCCTAATATAAGCTTGCAGCAGACAAACCATACTATCCTCCAGAAATTCTTCGAAATTTAGGTTAATCTCTATTTGGACACACAAAGTGGACAGACAAAAAATATCCTATATTTAACTTAAGTGTCCAATATCTCAACTGGAGAAAAACAGTCTATGAAATGTTAAACAGCAAGTATTTTTGAAACACCTTCTGTACTACTCTGTTGCTTCATTTGTCTGCAGTACATAAGGGTTGGGGGTTTTTTTGACTGGGGGAAGAGGGAGAGTTCTGCTTAAAAGAGAAGCAAATAGTTGAATCATATTCACATCCAGGACCATACTCCATCTTTTCGTTTAAGGAAATTAAAATCTATTTCGCATTACCCCTTCTTACTGCAGGTCACTGCAGTGGTCACTGTCTGCTTTCACACATACTCAGCATACTCAGATCCTAGCAATATGACAACACACAGCTAGTATATACCTTTGCTATAAAAATAAGACAGACCACCATACCAATTAAAAAAATAAAGCAGCTGGTTGATCACCAAGAATCCTGGAACTTGGGTTGCCCTCAGAAACTCTATCTAAATCTTGTTTAGGTAGCAGATACAGTCATCTTTCACATCTGGGAAAGAATATAGGACCAAGAGGACTTCACCTTGGCAGGACATAGGAAAATGCATTCATGGAAGGGAAAGATATAAACAGGCTGTGCTGGCTGGAAACCTGAAGAGGAGCCATAACAGTAGAAAAGTTCTAGAAATGTTTCCACGTAGAAGCTGTGAGGGCAAAAAGCTTAATTCATAGATAGCTTGTTATGTTTCTGAAGAAGGTTTATATGAGATCCTTCCCCAGAACAGCAGGGAACTGAATTCAGTAAACTAGAGACTTGTTCCAGCTCCTATGGAGGGCAGGAGGCTCACGTGAGAATATCATGTCAGCATTAGGAGAATAAGCATGACAAAGAAACTTGTCATCTCCAAGGGGATTAATCAAGTCCTTTGATTTCCAAATGGGATCTGTGCTCCTCTTTTCCTCTTGGGCCCGGGTGGTTCTTTTGTCTCTGGAGGGAGCCACACATCCCACGCAGGTTATATCATAGAATCATATCATAGAATGGTTTGGGTTGGAAGGGACCTCAAAGATCATCTAGTTCCAACCCCCCTGCCATGGGTAGGGACACCCTCAACTAGACCACGTTGCCCAAAGCCTCATGCAGCCTGGCCTTGAACACTTCCAGGGATGAGGCATCCACAACCTCTCTGGGCCACCTGTTCCAGTACCTCACCACTCTGACAGTAAAGAATTTCTTTCTAACATCTAATCTAAATCGACCCTCCTTCAGCTTAAACCCATTACCCCTTGCCCTGTCACTACAGTCTCTGATAAACAGTCTCTCACCATCTTTCCTGTAGGCCCCTTCAGGTACTGGAAGGCCGCAGTTAGATCCCCCCAGAGCTGCCTTTTCTCCAGGCTGAACAACCCCAACTCTCTCAGCCTGTCCTCACAGGAGAGGTGCTCCAGCCCTCTGATCAGCTTTGTGGCCTCCTCTGGAGTCTCTCCAACAGTTCGATGTCTTTCTTGTACTGGGGCCAACAGGCCTACAGGGTTAACACATAGGAGGAGCAAGCAACCATTTAACAAATTACAAACACTTGTTGCAGCCTCCAAAAGGAGGGTCCCTTCATTCCAAACATGCACCCCGTTATCTGGTGCAAACCTGCTGCTTCCCACATATCTTTATGCCTACTTCTGAGTGCTCTATTGCCATGGCACAGGATGCTCCAGGCTTCTGCCTTGAATTTTGCCTTGAAGTTTATGTAGATGACTTTCATCCATCACTTATCAGCTGTGGCCAATGGTTGGCTATGTGAGTAAGTAACCATGAAGTAAACAGGGGTGTGAATTTAATGAGCATTGGATAGTCCATGTTAACTGTCTCTGTGTGTGCTGCTGCCCTGATGAAAGTGAGGGAATTTATCCCACTTCCAGTGAGAAGTGAGCTGCCTCACATTTGTTTACATTTCCCAAACTGCATTTGGGCAGGTACTGTGGAGTATTTGATGTCTTTGAAACCCACACCCTGTCTTACCTCATGGTAACTTGTTTGTTTAGGTGTACTCTATAGGAAACAATGACCCAGGGAAGATAATGTCATTGTTAACAGAGTATATTGTGGACTTTGGCTCTATACTTTCATTGTCAATGAAGAATTGCCTTATCAGGGCAGTTACAATGGAATATTATGGTTTTATTATGCTTGACATTTTAATTTATAATTTGGTTGAATTTATTAATGATAGTTGACCTTGTGTCCATGGGCACTTTAAATATCCTATGTACTTTAGATCTTTACAGTTGTACTATGTAATATTTATGCTAACAAACTATTCATTATTTCTTACTACCAATCTCATCATTACCATCTGCTCATCTAATGACTGTTTATTTTGTGACAGAATAATTTGAAAAGAAGATGAAGTACCTCCTCTGCCTGTGTTTACTCCTTGCTGTTCTTTGTGCCGTAACCCATTGCTACCATGAAGACATTTGCCATGAAGTCAATAATACGAATCTGCGCGATGGAATGGAAAATTTATTAACATATAACTGTGACAAGCAAGGCTCTAACTATGCAGATTTTGTGTTTAGATTTTACAAGCAAGCTATATCAAAAGAAGCTGATAAAAATGTTTTCTTTTCTCCCATGAGCATCTCTACTGCCTTTGCCATGTTGGCTGTTGGTGCTAAGTCAACCACCTTGTCTCAGATTTTTGAAGGACTGGGCTTTGATGGTCTGACTGAGACTCGCATACATGATATACATGAAAGTTTCCATAAAGTTTTAGCAGTACTGAACTGTGCTGATGTTAACATCACATTAAATATAGGGAATGCTCTTTTTACAGCTATTGGGTATGAACCACAGGAGACATTTTTACAAAATACCAAAGAATTTTATGATGCAGATTTTTTTTCTAGCAATTTCCATAAACCAGAAGAAGCTAAGAAGCAAATCAATAAATATGTAGAGGAGAAAACCAAGGGGAAAATTCCTGAATTAATTGGTCGTCTTAATTCAAATACTGTATTGGTTCTTGTTAACTACATTTATTTTAAAGGTAGATATTTAACATAATACTGTAATAGATTATTTTGATGCAAAACAAAAATTGTAGGGAATTCTCAATGATTCATTAGCAGAGTGGCTATTTAGGAAAGAAATAAACTGTGCAAGACCTTCAAAGTAAAGATTAGCTCTGCCCAAAAGCAAGGTATCTGATTGTTGAGAAATATTGATTGCTTGATTTTGTCCCAGTTTGTCTGAAAGCTGTGGACCAAGAAGTCCCACTCTAGTGGACTGCCTCATAGCCAGGGACCCACTGCATGCAGTCTTGCTGCTCTGAGGGCATAATGACTAAAAATGTTTCCGAGATCTCTATGCTGACTGTATGTGCCAGTGAAAGTTAGTGGACTGACATCCTTGCACTTCCAGGGTCCCCAGTGTTATGGTAGATCTATTAGATATGCTACGTGAAAACTTGGGACATAGCATTTTAAGGGTCTGTGCTTCTGGAACCCTGCTTGAATGTTAGGATCCTTTATTCTGCTGATGAATTCCTCACCAGGCTGAGTGCAGTCATCTTGCATTGGGTACAGCTTAGCAGGAAGCACGTAACAAGATCGTGTGGCTGAATGTTTAAGTGGTTAAATTTAAATGTTATAAAAGGTACAAGTGATGGGAGCATATTGCTACAATAGAAGAAGGACTCTCTCAATTGGTCCTCATCAACCTTTGGTGGTTTTTCAGTGAGACAGGACATACTCAAACTAACTATGCTGAACTTACTGCACAGTGAAAATACTTTATTGTGTGTTATGCAGGAGATTGAAGATGTTTATTGATGCTTTTCTCCCATAAACAGCCCTACAGTGTCCTAACATTTAAATTGGTCTGATTTATATCAGAATTTTTTTATGATCATCACATGTTTGAGTGCAACGTCTTCTCTTTTCCCCCATTAGCTGCCTGGGAAACATATTTTGATCCTCTGCGTACATATGAGGATGATTTTTTTGTGAACACAAATGCATCTGTCAGAGTCAACATGATGCAGCGTGACAGTAACTATGACACTTACTACGACCAGGATCTCTCTTGTGAGGTGGTAGAGCTACCTTACCAGGGCACTGCACGAGCATTGCTCATCCTGCCTGATGATGGAAAGATGAAGCAAGTGGAAGATGCTCTCTCCAAGGAAACTGTTTGTAAATGGGATAACAAACTTGAGACCAGGTAACTCTAGGTAGATGGATTACTATGTTTGAGGACACATTATTATTTTTAAGAGAAAGCATTAGTTTGACATCTCCTCCTCCTGGATATAATGTCCTGATTTCATAAAGCAGGTTTTCAAGTGATTCCCAAGACAAGTCAGAGCAGAGCATAACTGATAAGCAACCACAGGCTCTTTGACCTGACAGAAGGGAACACAGCATTGCAACAACTGCCTCAAGACTTGCTTGGCTACCTTTTGGCTACCATACCTCTTCTTTCATGGTGCTAACATAATTCATTTGCTTCACCGTGTCTTATATTTTATCCTCATTTTCCCTTATTTTAGCCTTCCCACAGCTGATCTGCTTACTCTCTGTAGCCCTGTAGCTACAAAACTCTGCTAGATGTGCATGACTTGGCAGTGGGGTGTAAGAGTGGCAATGAAGAATTAGTTGATTTTTCCAAAATCAAAGAGAGAATGTAGGTACAAGAAGACGTCATATCTCTCTGGATGCCAGAATTGCTCAGGGAATATGAATGCTACCATCAAACATATTAGTAATCAAAAGAATGCTTTTAAGTGTCACTGAATTGCATACTATCCAGCCTGCTGGCTGAAACAAGGCTGCAAAGCTTCACTGCTGTTTCGTTTTCTTTGTTCAACAGGAGATTAGATCTGCGGTTACCAAAGATTTCTATTAGTGGATCTTATGATGTTAAAAACCTGTTCAAGGAAATGGGCATTACAGAAGTATTCTCTAGTAATGCTGATCTGTCTGGAATTAGTGGCAGCCGTGATCTTCAGGTTTCACAAGTAAGTGGACAGAGCTGATGATGGGGCAGTGGTTGGTTTCTCTGATCAGTTATATCTGGCATTCTTAAAGACTTGTTTTCCCTCCTTGTCTTACTGAAGTTATAAGTAAAACTCACAGTGATATGTAGGGACTTAGTAATTGTGCTTTTCTAGAGAAAGTGTCTTCTGTCCCACCTTTGTAGTATTTTAATATTGCTATTAGAAGGCTGGATATTAAGTATATGGAAAAGTTGGACAAGATTTTACATGATTTCTTGCCACTGGAATATGATTTTTGACATGTGATTGTGTCAAGTAAATTATAAATGAGGAGTATATTATGATATTTGTGTTGATTAGTACCTATTCTTTTAATATTCTCAAAGTTTCCAGGAAACTTCCAGCTTGCAGTAGCAGAATTTCACCATGTCAGTTTAAGCTACAACTTAATGTGGCAAAGATACCAAATACTGCCCTTGTATTAGCATTTAAATAGCAGTCTTCCATTAACCTTGGAGTAACAGAGAAAGTGTTGCTAGTGGAAGTCCAAACCATCTAATAAAATAAACCAACTAGTGCATGGATTGTTATTATCCCTGTCTACTCAGCACTGGCGAGGCTGCATCTACAGTGTGTCCATTTCTAGTTTTGACCCTCTCCATTCAGTCCTGACATGGAAAACACTCCTGTTGCAGGCTGTTGGAGATTTACCATACAAGAAAGTTTGGTCCACTGGATTTTATCACTCCTTTCTTCTCCTAAACATTCCATAAGAAGAGCATTTATCTTCACCTCCTGCTTGCTGTCCCATATATAAACCACAGCATTTGCTCCTCTTCCCTGCAGGCAATTCACAAGGCAGTGCTGGATGTTGATGAGGCTGGAACTGAGGCTGCAGGAGCCACAGCCATAATCCTTACCAGAGTCCTCCGTCCTTCTGCTACCATCATATTCAACAGACCCTTCATTATATTGATTTCTGACAAAGCAACCGGCACTACACTTTTCATGGGGAAAATTGTCGATCCTACTAAGAAGTAATTGCTGAGTTACTGGGCATGCTGGTATTCAGCATGAGTTATAATGGCTACAGCGTTTGCACGTGGGGTTACTTAGTGCTATTAACAGCTCTCTGATTTAGGGATATTCAGATGTAAATGAGGAATTTCCTTATCAAATTAAAAAGAATTGTAAAAAAAAAACAAAAAACACAAACCCCAAAAACCAAACCAGCAATAACTGACAGTTTTTAAATGTAAAATTTTCCACAGTTGAATAATTGAATTTATTTCCAAATTTTCCTTGGAAAACAGTTTTTTGTAAAGTCTGATGTTATTTTGACAAGTGAATTCTCTCTGTTAAGCAGTTTTGTCCGGACTGCTTTCAGTGCTGGGTTACTCGCCAAAAGCTTTATCCCAACAGGGAACAAGTGCTTTGCAATTCTATTATGTCTTCTCCAGGACTTGTTGATGATCAGTATTCACCAGAGATAGCCCCTACAGAGTCCCTTCTTCCTTCCATAGCTCTTTGCTTCCTAGGCCATTGTTGTTTACCCTCAACCAACTCGATCTTTCTCACATGTTCCAACTCTGTGCCTAGGACATCTTAAAAAAACATTGACAAAAAAAGGGAAAATCACCGAGACAATAGACTTATTCTGCTGCAGCACTCATTGTGTGTTTTTGCAGTACACGGGATCAGCAAAAAATTTTGAGATACAGTGGCATTAGGCATAAACTATCAAAGAATTGTCCTGCGACAATGTCATCCATGAATTACTGCTATGGCTGATGAATAAAATAAACATTGTCATTTAAATCCATCGCTTAAGGACTGACTCCAGTCTCTTGCTATCATTCTATAAATCCTTTAAAATCAACAAAAACCTTCAGTCACTCTTATTAACATAGCAGGATGTCTGTAAAATATGTTTTAAAGGCTGTTAAATGAGTCCAACTTTTCTCATATGGAGATGGCGACTCTGCATTCTCTCCTTATGTGCCTACTTGGGTAAAACCTGTTTTCAAGAAATACATAAGCACTGTCTTGCTGTTGTGGGTCTGCATATCACCCACTGTGGTGGGTTGACCCTGGCTGAG